AGCACCCTTTGGTGGGGATGTTACCCAGGGGAGGGTGTGCATGTCCCATGGCATCCCTTCAGGGAGAAACTCATGTGGATCAGTCATCGCCATTGCTGAGGATGTCAGGTTTGTTGGTGATGGGGGTACCTGTCAGGTCGCCCCCTTGTAAAGGCACCATTTTTTCCTGCTAGAATTAATAATACGTGAGGGATATTTGAGAGAAGACTTGCTCTTGATACAGTAATCCAGAGTTAAAAACGAACGCTAACTCGGTATTAGGTATCCCTCCACAGCTGAAATGCAACACCCAGCGTGCCCTGCTTGATTTACTGCATGTTTTTCGTAAGGGTTATAGAGGAGTTAAGGTTGAAACAAACCTCCTCCCTCATAAACCACCTGCCTACGGAAATCCGAAGGTCATTTTCATGGCTTCACCAGTGCATACAATATCATTCAGGTTTTGAACTCAGCCAAGATTTCTGACTCATTAAAATTTACATTGAAACTTAAGAAGGCATACCAAAAATGTCAACTGTACCAAAGAGTAAAACCCTGGGGAGGTCACCCCAATGTTTGAAGCATATCATTCTATTAGGTAAATCAAAGGTTTGCTTCTCAGCACGTGAGTATCATGACAGCTCAAGAATCACGGATAACACAGAGCTTAACACTGTTACACATGTGGCAGGGTGCTGTTCTTGCTGGCTACCACAAAGGACATGAACTTGAGAAAGCAGGGCAAAAATAGATCTCCAAAGCCATGTCAATCAGTTTTGAGAGGTCAAAAATCCTCGCAGCTTTAATTGGAAGTTACTGCTTTGGTAATTAGTATAACATCACAAAAACACACCTGAGTCTCCGAGTGAATAATAAGCAGGGAGATGATGATGTGTCAGCCACCGAGGCCACCCTCAGGGCCTTCCTGTGCCACTGGAGGGCTGGTTCTACTGGGAACTCCTGGGATAATTTCTCTGTATTGTTTCCCCACTAGACTGCGAGTTCCGGGAAAATAGGGCTTTGGTCCTGTTTGCTCTCCAGTGCCCAGAACAGTGCCTAGTACACACTGGGTGTCCAACAATATTGGTTGAATGAAGTCATGAGTCAAACAGTGCCCTTCAAGATTAGGTCAATTCAACGCGTCTAAGCAAGCGATGTCACCTCGTGGCCCCTTCACTCTTTGTTAACTTGACTACTAAATGCGTTACTCAGGAGCGTGTGTAAAAGGTTTAGCTAGTTATTCCAGGGCAGACAGCACACCTCTGTGTGCCAGACCCTGTCAAGCATGATTCTACCCCTTGAGGCCATGTCTCTCTCTCTCTCTTCTTTTTTTGCAAAGCAGGAACGAGGAAGAACATGCAATATTCCATCATTTCATTATTACTGGTGTGTTTATCTTCTTCTAGTATTTCCATTGCTGAGTTGCTAAAGGTCACGGAGAGAATGAAGCCTTCAGATAGCTTTTTTTTTTTATTGAAGTATAGTCAGTTCACAATGTTGTGTCAATTTCTGGTGTACAGCATATTGTTTCAGTCATACATACACATATTCGTTTTCATATTCTTTTTCACTATAAGTTACTACAAGGTATTGAATTGCAGGTTGTTAATAGAATGTGTTTGCTTTTTTCCAGTTTGCTTCAATACTTAGCATTTTTTTCTCTGTGTGATTTTGTCCAGAAGTATTGTGACATAAAATTTTGATTAATTTTCCTTCATATATGACAGGTAACCAATATAAGGGATCTTCCCCATGAGCATTACTTCATTGTTGCACATGTGCAGACACTTTAGTTTCAAGGAAGCCAAAAGAATCAACCAGTACACATGTTCACTTGAATCAGGACCCTCCAGGCACAGAGATGGAAGACAGTGCATAATAGAGAAGGAGAAAGGGCCAGGAGACGGGCTCCCCCTCCAGAAGGAAACAGCAGTAATAAACATTTAAATATAAGAATGGTAGTAGTTTGTGCTCATTACACATTCATTACTTCTGTTCATGACAGCCCTATGCTGTAAGACTATTATTCCCATCGCAGAGAGGAGAAAACTGAAGCTCAGCAAGGTCGTGACTCGGCAGTAGTAAGGAGTGAGCAAGAATCTGAGTCCTCTGACTTCAGAGCCTCTTTCTTCACCACACACAGGACGACAGAGCCTGTTATTTACAAGCGTTGTCTTACAAGTTTCCAAGTAAATCTCTGATCATTCTTAAAGAATGTATCCTGGGAGGAACTCAGGGCAGATAAGTTCCTGTAAGATCACTGCCCCAGCATTCAGATACGGGATTCCCTAGAGTATTCTTCTTACACATCTTTTGATATTATTCAGTTCTTTTATCATCTTTGTCATCCTCCCTGAATCCCTCTTCAAAGATGATACATTCCTCTAAAATTATGTATACAGCTCAACTCCTGAGAGGCATCCATTTGCAAATAGATGAAAAGCTTTGCTACTGTAGGTGAGACGAACAAGGGAGACTGACAACACGGCATGTTAAAAATTCTATCACCACTGACCCGCTTAGACACACAGATCCAACGGCTCACTCTTTCTTCTGTCCCCGGTGAAAAACTACGGGGAGAAAGGGATCATATAGACAAAGGTTATGTTTTTAACCCAACACCTAGAAAGAAGTAGAAGGTTTACATTCATGAGATTTTATGCAGGTGTGTGGAAATCCTTCTACAACCGGAATTCATGTTGGCAACAGTGGCTTTCCAAAGCTATAGCTCAAATTCTGCACCACCATGGGCAGTTTTTCGAACACTCACCTTCCCCCAATAGTCCCCTGGACACATACTAGAAAAACACCTAAAAAAAACTAGTTTTTTAAATTAATTAATTAATTTATTTATTAATCAGTCTTTTGGGGGGATAATTAGGTTTAATTTCATTATTTAATGGAGGTTCTGGGGATTGAACCCAGGACCCTGTGCATGCTAAGCACATACTCTACCACTGAGCTATACCCTCCCCAACAAAGCCAGTTTTAAAAAGCAAGCATACATTTTTTTTCTCTCTCACAAGTGAAATTCCCCTTAATGCAGCTGTGGTCGAACCACTGACAGGCAAACAGCAGGAACTTCTTCATACAGGAATGTATCTTTCGTCCAACCCCAGCACAAGCGTAGCCGCCCAGAACAAGGGCTCCAAACCTTTTGGATTTCAAGGACCCAGAACTGAATGAACCCATGAAAACCTGAATGATGCTGAGTTTCCTCTTGCAATTAAAGAAAATAAATAATAATAATATATTACCATCATGACTTCATAAAGTGAAGAACATAACAACAGAAAAAAAGTCAGTACAGAATTTCAGTCTAAAGAATTTTTTAAATTCTTAGAGTTAGCCGATGGAATCTAGGTTAGGTTTGTTTTTTCCCCCTCACTCTGCCACAAGTTAGTGAAAATCCTGTTAGAGAGAGGGACCAACATTTGGGGAACACCGATCTAAGAGAATTCTTCCTGATTATCTTCTCTGTCCACCACCAGGCCGAACTAATCCCCTTCTTTCTCTGCAAGTATTTTGTGAATACTTCTGCTATATCACATGGTTTCATAATTATTCCGGTTAATATTTAGCTAGCAGCTAGACCACATGTTTTTAAAGGCACAAAGACTGTGTCTTACCCTTTTATCCAATTTCAGAACATACCTCAAATCCTAGAACACAGTAAGCACTCTAAGAGAACTTAGTAACCTTGTACATAAGTCAAATGTAAAGAGAAAATTCTCCCCCTTACGAAACTGATCATCTTATTTGCAAACTAGCATGCCACAATATGCCCTGGAGGGAGGGCTCAGAGATGTAAAGAAAGTTACAACAGTAGTCAAATACCACTGGCACACAGCAATGACTTGCAAACTTAAACGAAGTTCCAATGATTATTCAACATCGCTGTTCTGAAAAACAATCTCAGCTAAGAAATTGGTTTGGGATTGTGTTTAAACATTGAGAATGACATCGATTTATAAATACTTCAAATGAAAATGGAATTTCTAGATGCAAAATAGAGTAAGAATCATCAAAAGGTAGGGTAATAGCCAGCAGCAAATGACATCTCCTGTGTTCATCTATCCAGTTGGTTTGCTGGTGAGTCATGGGCCTGTGGTCTGAATACTGAACACTGAGCCAGCAGTTTCCTGAGTCCAGGAAGACAACATGTCCTAATTTATTAGCCTGACAAAAGTTGGCCGCAGATCAGCAATGCAGTAAAAATATGCCCCATGAAAGTATCTTTACAGATTTTCTCATTACATTGACAAATGAGGGGTGGAATCACCTTATGTAGGGGGAGGGCGGGATCACCAAAAACTTCTATACTTTATACACATACATCTCCCATGAAGCAAAGAACATAAAAAAGTGGAAGGAATTAAACTCATAATCAATCGTGTCTTGCACTAGCAAACTCAGAGGATGTCAGCAAGTATGGTGTTACGTTAGCTACTACGTGTCACTTCTTAGTGGAATCCAAAGGTGAAATCAGCCAGTGTTGTCTTAAGGATCAAATTCAATCTTGCCTTTAGCAGCTATTAAATAGACGGCTTTGCAAAGCTTTATGGATGAAATTGTGGCAGCAGTGACAATGGTAAGTGGGATCAGAGGAAGAAAACTGAAACCCAGAAAGCTGAAACAGCTTTGGGGGCCACACGTAAGCTTATGCGAATCCCGTGTGTTTGTAAAAGCAATTATCTTGCAGGCTCAACTGTATTATTTCTTCACTGTGGCAGGTAGCAGCCTCCAAAGTGGCCCCAATGTCCCCACCCTTGAAGTTCATACCCTGGGGACTCCCGTCCAAACTTTACCAGAGTTGCTTTGTGTGACCAATAGAATACAAAACTGGTTGCATGTCACTTCTGACATTAAGTTATAAAAGACATGCAGCTTCTGTGTCGTTGTCTCTGTGTCTCTCTCAGGTCACTCGCTCTAGGGAGAGCCAGTTCCTGTGCTGTGCGCAGCCCTAAAGAGAGGCCTGCAAGGCAAAACACTGAACTTTTCTGCCAGCAGCCACGTGAGTGAGCTGGAAGCAAGTCTCCAGCCCCCGTCAAGCTTTCAGACGGCTACATCCCCAGCAGACAGCTAGACTGCAACCTCTTCGGCCCCTGATCCAGAACCACCCAGCTAAGCTGCTCCCACATCCCCATCTCTCAGGAACCAGGTGAGAAAATAAATGTGTGTTGTTTTAAGCTGCTAATTTTGGAGGTGATTTGTCACCCAGCAATAGATAACTAATACATCCATTATGACCCTAGATAAATTAGATAAATTAACTGAGCCTCTGCATCCTCACCTATAAAGTGAGGACCAATGTAAACAGAAATATATTTATACTTACTGCCCTTTGCTTCAGAAAAAATTTAGGAGTACTTTCAGGAATACGAAAAATACAAGGCAGCATCAATTAAAAGAGGAGAGAGGACAGAAAAACAAGGGTGGGGAAAACAAAAGAAACAGGAAAGAGGCTAAAAAATAACACGTTACACGCATGCTATAATTGGACCACAATTCTGGCTCTGAAACTTAGCACAGCTCCTCCGGCCTCCCCCGTCTCCCCAGCCCGGACCTCCCACACACAGAGTCAGGTGTTTATTCAGTTGAGAGTCCAAAGTTTTAAAAAGAAAATCCAATTATTTCAGAGACATGTAATTATCCTTCGTGCTAACGTGGATGAGAATTTTCCCCGGGCGTGCCCTAAAGCAGCCCCTGGGTGGGGAGCAAGCAGAGGCCTCCAACCTCACCGGTAATTTAATGAAATGGGACGAGGCTCCCAGAGGGTCTCATCCACACAGGCCCATAATCTTACCCGACAGGGCCGCCGCTGCCGCCAGCACTGAGGGCGAAGTCTTACCAGTACTCCTGCTCACCTCTCAAAAGCAGTTTGCCCTTCACAGACGGATACTCTTGACTTTCCATTCTCATCAATATTAAAAATAGCCTATTTTCAGCCACAGACTTAATGGAAACAGTTGTGGAAAATTCTGGGTCTTCCAAATAGTTTCTCAGATTCCTTCCATCACAATAAGAAACTCAATGGACATAAATGTCCACCCTCACGGTAACCCATGCACAAAGCTATGGGCTCCTTCGACATCCTCCCCTTTCAAACCTTTCTTATTTACATCACCATCAAGTCTTAATGTTTTCAGTGGTGGTTCTTTCTGTCTGATCCGACCTTTCCATTGTTGCTGCCACTGCCTAGCTCTGAGTGTTAACTCTTTACTCCCATGGTTAGGCAACAGCCCTGCATTAGCCAGCTCAGGCCACCTTAACAAAATACCACAAACTGGGTGGCTTAAACAACAGACATTTCTCATGATTTTGGAGACTGGGAAATCCTAGAGTGAGGTGCTGGCTGATTCTGTTCTCTTCCCCATGCGTCTTCACACGCCAGAGGGAGAGAGAGGGAGCGAGCTCGCTGGTGTCTCTTCTTATAAGGGAACTACTCCCATCACGAAGGCCCTATCCTCATGACCTTGTCTAAACCCAATCACCTTCCAAAGGCCCCACCTCTTAATAGCATCACATTGAGGGTTAGGGCTTCAGCATAAGAATGTGGGGGAACATTTCAGTCCGCAGCCAGCCCTCAGCCATTCCCAACAGAGCCAAGATGCGTGGGACTGTAAGAGCACTTCTTCTCTTCTTTCACCACAGTTTAGTCAAGTGTCCACCTGAGTCCAGACTGCAGGATGAGAAAGTCCAACATCCTTGAAATTAAAGATCTTCAAGAGTCAAGACCCAAACGTCTGCCCCAGCTGTAACTCCTGTCCTTCACCCAACATAGCTCCTCCACGCAGATTTGCCCCCTCTCCTTTCTGGGCCTTTCTGTGTTGTGAAATCGTGAACACACCACCGCCACCCTCTTTTTGCAGCGAATTCCATCCCTTTGATCTAGTTCAAATCCAAGCTGAGAACTGAGAATCTCAGAGTTGGAAGGCCTCTAAAGGTCACTGTGTCCAACACTCAACCTCATCCATGCGTCTTCTCTTCACTAGTCCAACAGTCATTGGGAAGCTAAGTCATTTACCTGCTAAGCCAAGTAAAAATGGGTATGATGGGTTCAGCCCAGAAAGACATCACAGTTTGTACACGGACACTGGAATGCAAATGACTACAATGTAAGTACAATGTTCAAGACCTGAACAATGTTCTTTGGGGGCACATTCTTTGACACTTGTCCAGATTCTGTTTGAGTATCTCCAGGGACAGGAAGTTCAGGGAGCTCCTTCCATTTTCAGAAAGCTGTCAACCACAGAAAGTTACCATGCTGAGTTTCAATCTAACTTCTACACATTTATTCTAGTTTTTTTCAAACTCCAGAGTTTTCAAAGATAAACCTAGCTTTCTATTCCTATGACTGTCATTTAAATATTTTAAGACCACATCATAAACATCCCTAAATGTCTCATATGTTCCGAGTCCAGGCTCTTCACCCTGCTGGCTGCCCCACTCTGGCTCCAATGAAGATTTTCATACCTTTCCAAGTTTGCTGGGGATTCACCCAACCGGATAGAGTGGAGGGAAGCTATCACCGCCTTTTCTCTTATCTTAATACAACCTAAAATCACATTTACCTTTTGTAGAGGAAAGGGGGCACCCTTGTTACTTCTTATAGAGTCAAAATTTCCAGTGATTTCTTTTTTACTCTCTCACATACCTAAGTGATCTCTCCTCTTGAATGGCTCATATTGGGGCTTGTTCGTACTATTTTGTGTTGTCAGTTAATTTTTTTTAATGCATCAATCTAAGCTCTCTACCTAAAGAGAAGGTTTCTTGGCATGGGAGATGGTGGTAAAGGTACTTTTATTATTCATATTTACCTTTGATAAGTATATGAATGAATGAACAAGCACTGTGGTGATGCAGAACCACCCCCCCCAAAAGATGTCCACATCGCAATCCCCAGAATCTGCGTATACGCTATGCTAGCACAGCAAGGGGGGATTAAGGTTTCAGATGGACTTACTGTTTCTAATGAGCTGATTTTAAAATAAAGAGAGTACCCTGCATTATCGAGGAGGGCCTCATGCAATCACAAGGGTCCTTTAGAGAAGAAAGCAGAAGAGATCACAGTGACAGACAGTAATCTGAAGCTATTACTCTGCCCCCTTTGAAGCTGGAGAAAGACGTCAGGAGTCAGGGCACCGCAATGGCTTCTCAACGCTGGATGAGGCATGAAAACAGATTCTCCCCTAAAGCCTCCAGAAGGGGACGCAGCTCTGCTGACAGCCTGATTTTAGCCAGCTGAGACCCATTTTAGACTTCTGACCTCCAGAACTGTAAGAGCCGTGTGTTCTAAGCCACTGCATTTGTGGCGGATTGTTACAGCAGCAAGAGGGAACCACTTGGTGCTATTTGCAGCCAATGGCATTTGGCGTGTTCGTTTAGGTTACCATTAATCCTCACAATAGATTTTAAGTGTCAGAGCAATTGGATAAATCTGGGAAGATTGCAGCTAGTAAGACACAGAGCTAGGATTTGAACTCAGGTCTCTCTGCCTTCAATTTAGACTCATTTTGCAAAGCCATGATGCCTTAAGAAAGGGTAAAATTGCAACCCAGATATTGTACCCGAGCAACTCTGAACGTTCTGATGAGACTTCCCAAACCCGTTGTTCCCAGCAGAAATGAGATGATTCAATAGCTCTCATTAACACTGCTCTTCCTGTCTGCTTTCTCTCCTTGAACTTCTCTCTCTCCAGCTGATACTGCTTAAAAAGTAACATTTTAAGCAGATCACAGAGCTTCCAACAGATTAAACTGTTCACTTCGTATCATATCATCAACCATAGTTTATCACCAGGATGTGAACTGAGTACATTAGGGATATTCATCTACGAATATTTATAAGGTTTAGTTTCTAAGGAGAATATGTTTTTACAACCACAACTGGTTTTCCTGAAAAACCATAACCAAACCCTGCAGCTCTCTGACAAGAGAGTGGCCATTCAGTGGTGATCCAGTTGGTGGTGCGAAATTTATTGTGGGTTACAGACACAATAAACATGGGTGGAAATTCTATAATTTTAAGGATAGAGTTTGTCTTCGAAACCACCAAGAAATCAGGAAACTTTCTGTAGTTCTTTATCTCAATGCATTCACCTGTTGTAACAAGCCACTTTCGTCTTTATTTGAAATGAGGCCATTCATTATTGAGCACCTACTGTGCGTAGTGGTCACTATAACATAGTGCCTCAGAATGCAGGCACTAGGGTAGGTGGTTCTACTATTTCTTACTTATGTAACCCTGGGGCAAATCACCCCCAGTGAGACTCAGTTTCCACTCCTGTGAAATGATACGATGATCACACCTACCTCCTATGAGTGTGATGAGGATAGAATGAGACGACGCATTTAGAAGGGGGGGGGCAGTGTAAAGCAAGCGCTCACTACTGTTAGTTCTCACTATATGCCAAGCTGTGGGTTTATACTGGCGCATGAGACATGGTCCCTGCCCTCGAAAAGCTTATACTCTAACAGTTAAGGTGTACAGGGAAGCAAGGAATTACACGTTTTTAAGAAGTGGGTGCAAATCAGTAGCTATTATTTTTGAGTTCATAGCGCAGGGGCTTTGGCGAAAATTTGCAGATTGGCATGACCTGGTCAGGGCACCCAGGACCTGGCACCTAGTGTTAAGTACAGACCCACCCCAATGTCTCAGTTCCCCTGAAACCCTTCCTTCACCTTTTACCTCTGTATACTGGAGAATCATCTACAGAATTACACTGATGAAGTAATCCTGCCTGACGGTCTGATGGCTAGACAGTAATGCCCCTCCCCCCACGCACAGCATCCTTAATATTTGAAGATACCCTCATTAAGAGTGATTTTCGAAATACATGCCTGCCTCAGGTCTACAGACCTGCAGTCTTCTTACTAAAAGCTCCTGAACCTCTAATAAAGCAATCCCAGACACCTACTTTTCATATTTTGTCACATTAAATTAAGGCACAGAAACTTCCTGCCTATTCTCTAGGAGACTTTTGTCCCTAATTTTGCAAGGGAATGAAGCTACATGTATATACATGTATTCATATGTATATACATGTAGAATATTTACCTTTGATATACATATATGTATACATGTATATACATGTACATTCTACATGTATATAGCTACATGTATATTCCTCAAACATACTACTGCCTCATGAATTCTGATGAGAACAGACTACTTTTAAAATATCAGATGAGACAGATGTGACCACACCCATAACAGCCTTTGGCCCACAAGAAATGAGCCACAGGACAGGTTTTTGTTTCTTTCTTGTAGATGATTTGCTGATCTCAGTGTTCCAATAACTCCAATAACTTAATTCACTG